GGGACACACCTTTTTTTTCCTAGGACAGTAAATGCGTCGCTGCCACTAGTCCTATCCGTGAGGAAAATGTAGTAACCACATTTCACCACTGAATGTCTCTAGGCAGCAAACACTGTCTGTGGGTCACAGCCGTTTGTTTTTCCTTTTTTGGGTTTTTTTGTATTATGTTTTGATAAAATCTTTTTATTTTTTTCCCCCTTTTTTCTTCGTTTTCCGTCCCAGCTCTGAATCTGAATGTGTTGTCCAGAAAATCAACGGTGGGAAAACAAATCACTGCCCAAAATAAAAATGTTTGAATTACTGGCATTGAGGCTTCATCCATTAGCGTCTTCTGCCCACTGTTTACCAGACACATAAGGCAGCTTTTTATAAACACACACTGTAAGAGAACAAAGAACGACTCTGGTCTCCGTCTGCACTGAGAGAGAGAGAGAGAGAGAGCAGGATGATTTGCGACTATTTTTACTCTGCTCGGTGCGAAGCAAAACAAAAATACTTTGCACAATGAATTTATTTCTGGAGACAGGTGGGGAGGTCAGAGGTGAGCAGATTCAGACAGGAAACAAAACAGAACCACCACCATGTCACGACTGCGCTGACAAATCTGTTTCGGTGAACTTCGTCTTAATAAGAGAGGAAGGATTTTTCTGCTACAACAATATCTGGAACAATATTTTGGGAGTAAATTTTGTCCTAATTTCTGTTCTTTTTAAATTAATCGTGATTTCTGTGCTCCCTGTTTGAGAAACAAGTGTCTATTTCAAAAAGCAAAGCACAGAAAGTGGAGCAGACGCAACTTTGAACCACCAGGGGGGGTGACAGGTGTTCCGTAATAAAGTATAATCCTTAGGAAAATTAAACAAAAAAGGCGGGGTTTTTTTATTATTATTTAATTTTTATTTAACTGGTATATTTAGGAATTGTGAAATATTGAATGTTTGAAGTGCAGTTTGGATCAGTACAGATTTTTAATGTTTGAGCCATGAATCAAAACTTTAAAAAAATTGAGTAAATACGTGTTAATGTGACTTTTTTAACACAGTCGCTGTGACGGCGAGTTCCGCACATCATTAAAACTGATTCAACCATTTCAAACACTCTTTTTTTGAGTTGTCTGTGGCCTGGTACCTCTCCCACCCCCAAACCCCTACCATATTACCTGTATAAATCTGTTCTCAAAGACCATCATTCATTAAAAAAAAACGCGCTCCGTATGATCGTTGAGCTTGACACGCCCTGACCCCAGGGGGCGGTGTTTATCTTTTCTTTTCTGCTCAGAGACACTTCCGTGTCATATGTCATGTCTGTCTAAATGTGTGTCAAATACAGTCGCAGGCGTCGACTAGATTTACGCGTTAATCCCTGGACAAGTGAACGTAGGTGAGGGAGTGAGGACACAGTTGGGCAGAGCCCCCCCACCCCCACACCCCCCCGGGAGGAGTGGGGGTCCGAAAACCAGGACAAAAATAGGTGTAAATAATAATCTTACTTACTATGTGGCTGCTACTTGTGCAGATGTATGTGTATTGATCTAAGGCTGGAAGGAATTATGGTCTGGTGCTGTTTTGTGTCAGCGAGCGGCAGTGTAGAAAAAGCGGAGCGATGTGTCATCTGCTGTTAACGCCACAGCGCCTCATGATTACTATTGATCGAGCGGTCTCGTCGCTCTCCACGTCCGTCTCTCATTGACTAGTCTTAAGGGGGCCATCGCTCTCCTGGTCAATGCTGAACACACCCCGTATGAAAACTCACAAATACACACACACAAGTGCAGGTTAAGGCGGCCCAATCCTTTTAGGTCAATATCCCGACTTTTTTTTTTTTTTAAATATTCTACCTTTAACTAAACACCACACCATGGGTTAGTTGATGACTAAACGAATGTAAACTAATGACAACTTAAGAACCTGAACCGTTCATTTTCATTAGAACCAACTTTTTGGCAAATTTTGGATTTTAGGCGTGTGTATTGGGAAGAATCTGGCGAAACGATACGTATCACGATACAGGGGCAACGATAAATGCAGCTGCAGCTAAGGGTAGTGTGAATCTCAGAGCTAACTGACCAACAGCTAACCGACCAACAGCTAACTGGCCAACCGCTAACAGGTCAATGGAGTCATGGTTTCACAGTCACAGGATGACGGCTGGAGTAATTCCCAGAAGTCATAGGGTGACGGCTGGGTACACAATGGACCATTTGCCAGTCAATCACAGCTGCACTCACATTCCTTTGTACAATCATTTTAGAGTGAACTGTGGACCTGACCCTGAACTGTATGGAGTGGAACCAGAAAAAAAATTGAACCATATTGATCCCATATTTGGGAAATTCTTGTGTTAACAGCAGATACGCTGCTTCCGAGGCAGGCGTGCTAACTGTAAAGAAAGTCAGACTGTGTTTCGGTAAAGTTTTGCGTTCTGAGACAAGGACAGTGAAGATTGACTGACAAACACAGATGGGCTTTAGAAAGAAAGAAAAAAACATCACGTTGACGTGGACGGCGAATGTAGTGGAAACAACGCTGATAGGTGTAGAAACAGAGAGGAAGACGCGTGGATGTCGTCTGAGTGAGGGTTTCACCCTCTTTGTCGTGACAGTTTTCATAAAGCGTCTCTCGGGGGACACTACAGAAGGAGTGTCCCCCGAGAGATGGAGTCAAGACTTTGACAATATGTCTAGTGAGAAAAACACACTCGTCTCCTCGGCAGTCACTGCAGATAATGAGCCCTGAATATCATTAACGCACGACACACACTGCAGCTGTCCTGTCTGCTAAAACCTCAACTTTCAGAAGAGCGTAAGAAGCACTGAAGCAGATATGGTCACAGTGTACACAGACACACACACACACACACACACACACGACACGAACATGTTGGTGGTAACTTGTGTTTTTTAACTTAAATTGTGCCCACAGATATACACAATAGTAGTCGGTGGTTCTATACTGTAGTGGTTAGCACGCCTGCCTTGCGAGCAGGGTTTAGTTCCCAGAGGAACCAGATATTTGGCGCCACCAAGAGGCAGCAGATCTGCTGTTAACAGAACAATTTCCAAAAGTGTGGGATCAATTTATTAGCGTATTTATTGAACATCATAATCAGGCGTCACCAACTAGATTTGTCGGAGGGCCAGGATTTTTCTGGACACACCTTAGCTCAAAAGAAATGAAATAAAAATCAAATTTTTGTCTATTTTGGAATCCTGTCGTGGGCCGGATTGGATGTATTGCGCTGCCAGTTGATGATCACTGTCCTAGCGTGTGTTAACCTGCAGGGCGGCGCTCTGTTTATCAATAATTCAGCTCTGTGAAGTTCTCACAGCCAATAAGTTTAACACCACGTACAGTTGAAGTGCTTGATTTGTCTGCCATCTTTACTGAAGTCAGCTTCATTTTGGTAATGGCACTGTTGGCGTTGCCCAGCATTTTCTCCATCAACGGTGGAAAACAAAATGGATGCACTGCGGCAGGATCACATTTGTAATGTCATGTTTATGTAATCAAAGTTCAAAATTACTGTGACAAATGTTGGATTCAAGGTTTGGACAAATGTGAAGGATACAAGACTTAGAAAGGGACGTTTTATGTGACATGTTTGGGTCATATAGTAATATCCTGTTCCATGAGGAAGGACCCTCAAAGGGGCAGAATGTCCAGCTAAAAAGCACTTCATCAATACTACAAAAAAGTGATCAGTGAATGTGCAGAATGCCATCGTGGGCCGAGAAATTAATTTCATTCCGATGCCAACATTTTCACTTTAACTGCGGGGAAAGAAAAAATAAGCGAAATAACTTTTCACTTTTCGACCACGGTGCCAGGCAAGATTAATCAAATCTTCAGTAATTAAATGAATCCATGTCAAACAGTTTTTCCAAAGCTGGAGAGCGACCAGTTTCACAGTCACTGGAACACAGGAGCAGCGTCCTGCCAGAACTTTCTTCTTCAGAGTCAGTGATGGTGGGACTGAGGTCTAGCACAGGAGTGAGAACCGTTATGTGCAACACACTAAAGCACTCTGGGACAGCCGTGGTGTGCGAGCGCGGCCAACTGTCATCAAAGTGCCAGTTTGGAACGATGCCCTGAGGGAACACAGCCAGGGCCACGTACGGCTGTAAACTGGACACAACTGCACAGACGGGGGGGGGTGCGTGAAAGGCCTTCCCTGCAGCCGCGTCATATCATCAGCTTAACCTTCGGTTAGGGTTGATCCCAACACTGAAAAACTATCTAGCGCTGTGATCATCAACTCGTGGCCAACGACCAAATTTGGCCCACCAAACCATCCAATCCGGCCTGCATCTGGATTCCAAAATAAACTTCAAATTCTGAAATATTTTTTAAAAAAATTGAAAAATTCTGACGCTTCAATAAATATACAGAATTTTCCGGACTTTAAGTCGAAATATTTATTTATATATTTTTTTGCGACTTAAAAATATATAATTTCACGAATCGACTTATAGTCAAGAACATGGTAGTTGGTGCCCCCTGGAGTAGAGTCTCAACAGTGTGTTCTTTAAAAGACACACATGTCAAACAGAGTTGGCCTGTCCTGCTGTGTGACGTCCTGGTGCTACGGAGACATTGTGTGATGTGAAATGTTTAGGTAACCGTTGTCCTATTTATTTAGAACGTTATCATTTATGACACTTCCCAAACACCACAATTAGCAAAATGACGCGACATGTGCTGTACTTTACCTTGGGCTTTAAATGTCTGCGTCACAGAGGATTTCACAGGTAATTCGAAATATTTCAAGGGCACTTTGCTCCGAGCTTGATGCTAATTTCTTAAACGGCAGTGCATGAAAACAGACGCCTGGAGACAGAATGACGGATACATGCATGATACAGGACCATTCACACATACACAGTCTGTCTGAGGCGGCGATGATGGATAGTCCCACAGGCTGCAGGCGGAATAATGTAGCTCTGAAGGAAAGAAGGGAAAAAAGAAAGAAAGAAAGGAAAGAAAAAAAAGCAAAGCACTCACCACTTTGTCCTGCTGCAGCCCAGTCAGCCAACCATGAAAAATGAAAAGAAAGACAGAGACAGTTTGAGTAATGATGATATCTGAAAGCATGGCAATGATCCTACAGCCTTACACAGCACTCTGACACACACCGCCTCTCTGTGTACATGTATATTTCTGCTGTACAGCCATGTATCTGTTCCATACAGAGTTATTTAAAAACTAAAAGTACCTGAGGTTCAGTCATTTTTAATTTTAGACCAAATGTCGGGAGATTTTGAGGCCTGACTTTTTGAAGTTTTTGGATCAGACTCTGAGATATTCCGCTGGCTTTGTGTCAGGTTCAAAAACTCCGTGATTGCTTTTTGTGGTTTTTGGTGGCGGTAATGGAAAATTTCCTGAACAGTGACACAGATGTCCATGTTTGCCTCCTGGTACAGTCAGGACCAATCGGAACTTAATCTTTCTCCAAACCCACAAGCTGTTATTTGTACACTGCGAACAAAAGAAACAACCGACACGTCGTCTCCAGTTTCATACTCACTTTAGGGAGTGAATTAAATTTTGGTTCAGAAAGTTACGATTTAGTCATTTTGTCAATAAGAGCTAAATTATTTTCGTAATTAGTGCTTTGTTGTCTGTCGTTTTTCTTTTTACTTAACACAGAGTAGTGATAAAACTACTACTTATCTACTTTATTATCAGGTTGTCAAAATATTCAAATCTATATTTATATAGATAAATCAATATTCCTAAAGAAATAAAACTGTATGTAACTGGAGTCAAAAGACAAATATCAGCAGTTAGATGTTTGGGACAAATCCAAATGATGGAATTATGAATCTGGGAAAAGTTGAATCTGTTGTTATTTAAAAGTCTGTGAAATTGTGCAAATGTATTGTGTATTAGTGTATAAGTGCCAGCGCCACCTTTAGGAGACCTTTTTCTGTTGAATACAGGTGCCACACACCAACATGCCACCCAGGACCCCCAACTAAACTGCCAGAGTCATCGAGACTAATTAGTGTGTGTGTGTGCGTGTGTGTGTGTACACAGAGACCCTGACTCACTTGAGGTCATTAAATGATACAACCCATGTAGGTGAGGGGAAAAGGTGAAAGAAAGGACGTCACTTATTACAGCGGAAGACTTCATGCTGACAGTTACACACACACACACACACACACACAGAGACCCTGCTGTGTTTGTATAGGGCACCTCCGGACCCCGGGGAGACCGAGACAGAGTCAGAGATCGCCCCCTTCTGTTGGCAGCTCAGTCTAATGCCCAATTAACCTTTACCAGCTCCTGCTTGGGTCACAGTGACACCGAGCCACAGACGGTACACAGCACACGTTCACAGCACACTATAGAATCACATAAACAATCACACACGTGCATGTGTAAAATATATATATATATATATATATATATATATATAACTTACAGTTCACCTGGGCACCAACACCTGGGTTCTGATCAAAGCCTATATATAGAGAGGAACTTTTTTTTCCTACACCTGCATGCAACATTTGTATGATGGTGAACAAAATTGTAAAAAAAGAAAAGAAAAAGTAGTATCAAAGAATCAAAAAATAGCAACAAATACCTTAAAGTCAGCCAAAGAATAACTAAAATTAAGCACTAGATGACTGAACATCAGGATACAGGACAGCAGGAAATTGGCAAAGGTCACTACGTTTGATGAAAACGTTCATGTCCAGGGAAAAGAAGAAGAAGTTCCTAGTGGGACGTCTTACCGTGTTGGACCTCAGGGACACTCTGGCCCCACATCGGGCGCAGAACTTGGTCTGGCAGTACGAGCACAGGTTCCCACAGCCGTCTGCAAACTTGGTCTTGTGGCAGATGCCGCAGGTCGGAGCGTCGTCCCGGTGAACGGCCGAACCTGTCGCCGACGAGGCCTGTCTGATCACCGTCTCCCTGTAGCTGGACAGCTGCTGCTGGATGCCTCTGCAACACAACAGCATAGAAGCGTGAAGACTCCCATTCCTACACAAGGAGGCGCTACAGAAAAAAAGTTTGGAAACCACCGCAGCAGTAGTTGGATGAGGGCTAGTCAGAGTCGCACTACAACAATTCAACATCAAACTACTTTGTAGTGTTGTACTATATTTTGACCTATATATATTTTGGGATCAGATGAACGTTACTCTGACTGTAACTGACTGTCACATTTCTAACCAACTGCAAAGAATTACTGTGAAAATCTCCGCCGATACTCCTTATTCTATCTTTTTTTTCTTTTTTAGTGAGCCTTATGTGAAAATCTCCGCCGATACTCCAAATTCTACAATCTTTTTTTTTCTTTTTTAGTGAGCCTTTTTTTTTTTTCTTGTTTTGGGGTTTAGGTACGGACCATGACGCCAATAATCGTAATTAAATATTTTAATGAATTGACAGCCCTAATGCACATACATACACAATATGAGCAGGAACTGTAACCTAAATTAAAAATCATGACTTGTACCTATTTCTCTGACTTCCAGTCTAACTGTAACTGAGAACTGAGACACAAAGGTTGTCGAAACAAATTGCTCCAACAACTCTAGCTTTGGTTGAAACTAAAGATCGGAGTCGTCCCTCCCTGAAGATCTCAACGACTGCTTTGAAGAAACACTGTAGCCACAAGAACAGAACCACGTCACAGAGGTCAAAGTCTTGGGGTTAACCACTCACAATCCAGATAAGAGTTGACACGTTCTAAACTCCACTCAACAAACTCCGGCTGGTGGCAGGAAAACAGTGACGTAAATGATGAACAATCCCTCAAACAGGACCAAGACCAATCCACTGAGCACCCTGTCCTCCACCGTGGCTGCAGACACTACTGTACTCACAGAGTGGCATTTAAGGCTGAATCCTCCTCCCCCATCAGCACAGCTCAGCCCCTGAAAACTACAACTCCCAACGGTGATATGGAAAAGGCCAGAGAAAAAAAAGAAAAAAGTCCCAGATTCCGACTTTCGCTCTGAGATTCCAGCCTCACTCCCCTCGATGCAGCAAACAAAACCAACAAACACATTCCTTCAAAATACATCTGGGTGAAAAACAAACCCTTCCCAGGGTTGGGGGGGTTAGGGGGGGGTCGCTCAGTAGGTAAAACACGACCCACCATTGGAATTGTTAATAAGTGCCAAACACAGACACACACACACATACAAACTGCACAGGCATTAGGAGCGGCAGCAAAAGGTCACGGAGAGGTCACCTGCTGCTGCTGAACAGCAGGATTTACGTCTTTATCCGTGGCTCTGGCTGCGTTTCCTCCCAACTCCTGGCTCTGTGAAGGAACCAACAGCTACGACTAACACACATGTATACAGGGCCGTTGTAATGGTTTGAATTTTTAACACATTTAATGTAAATTGATGTTAATTTCTAATACAATCGTTACTGTTTTATTGGTTATTTTAAAAGAATCTCTGGATCAGGATCAGCTTACAGACAAAAATGAATATTGTGGTTTAATTTGTGCTATAAAGAAAGATTGTTAAAGCTAGAATTCCCTTAGGAGAGAAGAGAGGAGAACATCTCAACGTTCTCTCTGCTCATCAACTTCATCTCCTGTGTCTTCCAGGATTAAAATATTAATCAAAAGATGGTGTCGGAAAACGCTCGGTGGCGTGAGATGAAAACATGTGACAGGTGGACGGACAGACGGACGGACGGTGGAGACGCACGGACGTAGAACGTGATCAAAGGGAACAGCTCGCAGTGTGATGGGAACGCTGGGAACATGATCATTAGGTAAAGTGACGGAAGCATTTACATGTACATATTCAAACTGTTGTAAAGCACAGGGTTGAAGCAAAGTGGGAGAAGAGTGTGGCTAAGAAACAGCATTTAAGGTTGTAATAGTATTAAACCAGATGAGTTTTTTTCAAAATTTTTGATTTTCCAAAGAACATTTCAGTTTGAGAATCATATAGTCTACCCCGCCACTCCAACAAAAACTATTCTTTCATTTTATCTCAAGTAGTTTATTTAGGAAAAAAGCATTTGCAAAACATGCGTTTCAATCCAAAAATAATATACAAATTCTACCTTTGAGACTAATTTTTCCTGAAACTTTTCTGCTCTTTTGTATTTTGTACTTGCCGTAGATGTTATTGGTTCAATTATAATTATTTGTATCTGTATTTATTTAGAAAGATTGACCGAAAACATAACGTCTGGTGCGTCTTCCCATCTGTATTTATTTAGAAAGACTGACTGAAAACATAACGTCTGGTGCGTCGTTGCTATTATTCATCATCAAAATCTAGAAACACACGGGTCAGAAATATTGTTGCTTAAACAACAGACAGCAGTCACTTTGAGAAGATAATTCACTTCTGAAGGAACAGCCAGGAGATGAATGAGTTATTTTGTCATTCATCATGGAAATATGATTATTATAGGAATTCCCCGTACAACAGAGGAATACGATACATCCGCTAGTAGGAAAGACTGTTTTTGTTCCCTCCTCGTGAAAGCAGTGAATGGGTGGAAAGTGAAGGAGGTGGAGGTGGAGGAAAAGAAGCAGGAGGAGGGCGAGGCAGAAGCTCCGACTTTATAGGAGCCGATGCTACGATGTGCAATAAACTCAGAGCTGGACGCAGCCATGGACGTTTACCTGGCAAGGACAGACAGCGAGAAAACACAACACACACATATTTATCTCGCAGGGCTTTCCCTGTCTGTCACTTTATTCCCGGAAGATTAAAGTTACACATTATTACTATACGTAGCCCACATTGTACTATAGTACCCCATAAATAATTTGGGGTGATTTCTGGGTTCTTGTCTGAACCAGAATCATCAAAGATTTATCCAAGCATGAAAAACCTTGGACCATAAAAAAGAACTGGATGAAGCTGCCTCCACTGCAGCCTGTGGTTGCAGGGTGACAACAGAAAGTATGACAGAGAGTTGACGTTGGGTCTTCTGTGGAGCTTGAACTGAGTTAGTTTAATTGTTTGTATTTAGTTTTTTTTTCTATGTTGGACGATCAAGAGATACAAGATACAAGAACGGTTCCTTTACTAACCTTTACTAACAAGTCACATCAGTTATCACTGTATTTTGGGAATCTCTGTCTTGTCCAGGGACATACTGGCATGTAGTGTTTGAGATCAAACCCTAGTCGTCTGGCTTCCAGTGATCCTGATCCCCAACCACCAGCCTTTACCTTCCCTCGTCATCATCTCTAACTGGTCTAACTGGTTCACCTCAGGTTAAACTTGTCTTTCTTACTTGACCTGTCTTTCAAAGATTAAAGTTTGAGATAACCCATTCCAAAGGAGGTTAAAGATCATCTGCCTGACTTTACAGTAGATGCGTCTGAGAAAAAAGCTGAGTCTTCAGTTCTTGGGCTCCATCAACGAATGCTGTCCCGTCCAGAGCTTTGATAAAGCCGGGGTGGCATCCAGTCGGCTGCTGGGAGCCAACAACTTCAGCTCTTCCTGTAGTGACTCAGGCATCTCAGGCCAAACGTGAGTCACTTCCTTTAGTTCCTGGATCGATCTTCAAACGGCAGGCAGACATGAATCAAATAACAATGAGTCAACGTCAGGGAAAAATCACCTCACGCCCATTTACAAATTAGGTGTCGTGACTTATCCCCTCGTTTTCCTCGGCTTCCTCCGCGACACGTACGGTACTTCTTCAGGTTACTTCGTCCTCCTGTTAGTGCAGTTAAAGCCTCCAAAAGTCTGGATCACTTTGTTAATACCTATTGTCTCTCCCTCTCTCTCTCTCTCTCTCTCTCTCTCTCTTACTGTACAGACGTCTTCTCCAAGATTGATTGGAACTCATTTGGTTTCCTATAATAGACCAGTATTAAAAAGTTTCCTCCTCCCTGTGCTATTTGTAAAATTGAATGGAAGGTAAAATGCATGCCAGAATTAGAAATGGGTTTCCGGACTGCAGCGACTGTGTCTGTGTCTGTGTGTGGGTGTGTGTGTACCCGGGTTTGTGTGTTCTAGCATTGCTCACGATGTTGGAACCTTAATCTGTCTCCACAGTCACAGTTGAGGTTGCAAAACAGGTCAGAAAGTACATTTTTTAAGCTGCTGCTGTCAGTAAAAACCCTGGAGTTCAAGTGTGTGATGAGGCCGCTGCAGGAAGGAGTACCAGGAACCGCTGCACTAGTACTGCATGTGTGTTTTCCACCACAGCAATCACTACTTGGGTGACAACAACTATCAGGGCTTTGGAACAAAACCAGAGTGGATTTTCTATTCGATCTTCTTCAACAAGAAGGAACTTTGTACATTTGAACCACAGGGTCCACAATAATTACAATTTTTTACAATTAATTGCGGCATTAAGCGCTAATTAAATCGGCCTTGTGGGATCATTTTGAAACCGACCAGTGTGTCGTCATGGATGACGGCTTTTTGGTCAGACTTGTCGGAGCGACACCCAAGAGTCTCCTTGAGCTCCTGAGTTCCTAGGAAGTTCCAAATCAGTTCTTCTGTGTAAAAGTAATCGTTGACACAGGTCTAGTTTATCACAGGGATTTAGTGGTAATTAATAAACATATATTGTTGTAGAGAAACAAAGGCTGATCTGTAAACGATACACAGCGACCGTCCTGCTGCGCTCATACCTCAGCACCACTAGTGCATGTATGCAGTGTGTGCTGAGCACTGGCCGATCACCATATGGCAGCAGGGACACAGACTCCTCTCACTCTTCCCTTCACCGTCTCACTGAGCCAAAACTCCAAAGTTCCTCCTCCGTCCCTGTCCTCCCTCCGTTGCACTTCCGTCGTAGCAGTCGTCACGCTGAGCTACTCGTCTGTGCTCTCACGTTTTCTCACTCCATCCGTCCTTTTCGTAAGAGCAACATTTTCCGTCGTCGCCTAATATCTTGGTTTTACGTCAGTTCCGGTTTCTGTGCTCGCATCAATTTGCACAAAACTATGCTTTAATCCAAGATTTTATTTTGAAAATTTCTGCCGATTA